AGCATAAGTAGATAGCAACAGACCATCAAAATAAAGATTCTAGATCACAGCCTAAAACAAGTTCAAGAATTTAAATACTTGGGAAGTATCTTTAGATTCAATGGTAAAATAGACAGAGAGATCGAAGCAAGAATCCAACAAGCCAACAATGTCGCATACCAGCTTGCCCCAATTTTAAAACACCCTGCTGTCCCAGCTGAAATAAAAAGACAAATTATAAATACAATCTTTATACCGACATTAGGTTATCAATGTCAGACTTGGACATTAACAAAAGAACACGAGAGAAGACTAACCACCTGTGAAATGAGATGTTTGAGAATGGCTGCGACTAAAACCAGAAGAGATCAAGTGAGAAACGATGTGATTACAAGAACTATTGGAACCATACCCAAGGGCAGGGGAAGACCAAGAAGAATATGGATTGAACGAGTCACGGACAACTTGAGACTTCATAACATCACGGCATATGAAGCGACTGAGCGCGCCCTGGCTAGGTTGCCGATCATCTGATAGACTGCGACGCCTAGCGGCACAAGCAGATTTTGACAAAAGAAGAAGAACGTAGTATTTTGTAAGTATTTTTTTTTCGACATGGAACTCATTATCGTATTTTACATTAACTTATATCAGAAAAATTGTTTCGCATAACGAGTGTTTCGCTTAACGAATATGCTTCTAGAACAAATTATGCTCGCTAAGCGAGGTTCCACTATATTATTGTTTTGACTGTTTCGCTTTCCCGTGGCGGGTTCAGACCTAGTTCCTTATGCGGTTCTGCTAAAGGTCAAAATGGCATATCGCAGGCTGACCGTTGACGTTTTGAAAATGTATTTGTTTCCAGCTAGGTTTTGCTGATGCAAAATCTTCTTGTCTGTACCAGGAGTATAACAGTTTTTTCAATCAGCTATGGATTTTGAGTGGAATCACCACCACCCCCCCCCCCCCTTTTTTTTTTACCCCCGCACACCCGCTTTGTTGTTGTTGTTTCCACGGCGTGTTGCTCACTGCAATAATATACTAGGTGTCCGAGTATGTTCAGAACGGCGTGTACTTTCGGCGCAATTCGGGTTTTCGTTATTGGTCGTTCGCACCAAAAGTGAGCTGCAATTCTGGTGTTGGACCGTTAGTGTTGACACACCTGACAGCTGTTTTACGCATTTATACTCTGCGTGTACAAGTTTAGCTGCAACTTACAGGTCTGTCACTAGTTTTCAAATGTGGCGGTGAAGAACATTTTGTGCGATTTGCGCGGGAACGGAACAGTTATGGGGGCACCTGTCTGCAGTGATACTTAAATTACACTTTGTAGTGTCTTTTTTTTACTGTATTTCCATTTCAAGTTTAAAACTCTCTTATGATTTGTAACTCCTTGCAGTGCCATTCTCCTCAGACCGTTATGATCTATCTGTTCCTCGGCACTGTTTCCTTGCTCACAACATCCAGCGTGTCATAATCAGTTCACCACCAAGTGGTGTAGAACCGGCCATGTCTATCTGCCTGCTCATTTTCCAACACACCCCGACAAGACCTGGAGAAAACATCAAAATAATGCTAATTTACCTGGGAACTTTGAAGTGATGCTTGCCACTCTGCATGGAGTATGCCTGTCTCCACCTTTCTAAACATGCTCTCTGCGTCAGTTACAGTGATGGCATATGGGTACAGCTGATTCTGAAGCCAGCGGAAGGCAGCAGTGACTGCCTCCACCTCCATTCTCAAACTAGACGTTGTGATATCATATGCCAGGCTTTGTTGCACCAAGCGACGTCTGTTCGCTTTTGCTATGAACCACCATGCACTTCGTTTGCCCCTCAACACAGAGTCATCTGTATATACAGTCACAACACCCAGGCGGGAATTTTCATGAATCATGTGTTGATTCTGCAGCACCAGCGTTGGCCTATAACAGAGGTTACCAACTATAATGACTCGCGGTGTTTATTATTATAATTTTTTTTTTTTTTTAAAGAATCAATTTATTAGTCAGAGACCCTTAGGCCTTCCACACCATATAATTCACAAGTTAGGTTAGTTGCGTATCCTTTACAGGACGTTGCAAAACCAACCCCAACAGCCCTTGGATGTTGTGTGGTTTTTCTAGGCAATTTACGTCCAGTAGTTTTCCATTGCTTCTGTAGGGTCGGCTTTCTTGATACCACTGTCTTAACCAACACAAGGCGCATTGCCCGCAGCTGGGATCGAACCCAGCATCCCGGCATTACGAAGCGTTCGCATTGACCTAGCCACAGAGCCGACAACTCACAAGTTACAGGTTGTTTAGAAGTAGTGTACAGAAAGGAGAAAGAAAGTGTTGATAGTAAGGGAATCAAAAGTAAAAAGATATCAAATCTAAAGAATAAGGTCTTATCAATGAAATTATATTTTAAACACTTTGAAATTTACCATCATTTATTCTCAGCTATCATCAATACATATGATATTGTCAAAACATTGTGAATCATAAACGTTCTTTCAAAGTTAAATCAGTTTTCTTTCCTAATCCTAATGTGATTCAAGTTTTTCCCCTAAAGCGGCCATGAAAACCTCAGGTAGGGCTATTCAACTGGTGACCCACCGGGTTGAATCCGACCCGAAAAGGCCTAGAAAGTTACCTGCCGATAATTGCCAATTGTACGAGTGCCTTTTTTACGCTTTCATGCGTATTGTACATATAGGTCTAGACCTGTAATTCCTAGACCAGTCAGCACTCGGTAGGTGTGATCAACATCACGCCGGCCGCCTTTACTTCCCAGAACAACACCTGATGCCCACTCATGGCTGGGTCAAGCTGGGAGGCAAGTTCATTTGTAAAAAATTCCGGCTCTGTCTGGACCCGAACCCACGACTTTTCGATTCGCAGGCGATCGTCTAACCACGGTGGCTCCACATTATCTCTCGTATCGTATTACTAATTTTTACCTACGCTGGAAAAAAAGGAGGGGGGGGGGGTTGATTGGTCTCTTCTAGTAATTTCTCCTGATCTCTTTTTAGTTCGGATGCCTGTGTATATTCTTGCTCACGTGAAAAATCCCTTGGCAGTAGGACATCGAAAAGAGTAGCCTAACGGCGCTGCCCGGGCAAAATTGAAAGTTAAAAACCACCCAAAGTATTTCGGGATCCTCCCCGGTGCAATGGAGTTCGTGCACTACACTGAGATTCTTCAGACTCAGACTTGAGTTAGAACGGAGCCCTTATGGGTGACACCCATGTACCATGATGTAATTCGTCAAATAAACATCAACATATCTACACTGGGGCTCAGATTGTAGGGATTCCAACTATCAACAATCTACCCCCTGGGTAAACATGGCAAAATTGAGACTATCATAAAATGTTCATTTATTTTGTGTTTAAAACTTTCCTATGTAGACATTATGGCGTGTTGCTGACCCTATCGCAAACCAAGTGCCTATCGGTCTATAAATTAGGTTAGCCTCATTTGGCCAATAGATCTAACGGTGTGGAAAAGGGTCATTTACTAATGTAGACCTTATGTCGTGATGCTGACCCCATTGCACACCAAGTGCCGATTGGTCTATAAAATATAGACCTAGCCCTATATGGCCAATAGATCTAACGGTGTGGAAAAGGGTCATTTACTAATGTAGACCTTATGTCGTGATGCTGACCCCATTGCACACCAAGTGCCGATTGGTCTATAAAATATAGACCTAGCCCTATATGGCCAATAGATCTAACGGTGTGGAAAAGGGTCATTTACTAATGTAGACCTTATGTCAATGTCAAGAAAAGCAAAACTATAGGACCCTTTTAACGCCAGGGCCGGTTAGTGCATATGCTGCCCCATTCATTTTCAAAGACCAGACGACCCAAAGTGAGGTTGTGGTCAACATCACACCGGTCGCCTTTACCTCCCAGACATTATATCATTTCCCATTTTTTGGCTGTATCGACCTCGGATCACATGTTGCATTTGAAAGAATATCGACTAATTGTAGATTCGAACCCAAAATATTTATGCTGGCAGCAAACGCCCCGCAGTCTTCACTAACTTACCTATTTTATTTAACTCCTCACAGTATTGAACATATCCTTGTGTCGTATATTTTTCATTTTACATCCGATAAGCAGAGGGAAAGCATTTTTTTTAAAGATTTCTTTTATTTTTCTAAGAATGCGAGATTTTAATTTATTATTTTCGTATTTTCAGATATTAGTTACACAGTATTTACATCACGTACGAACACGCACACACGCGCACGCACGCACACACACATACACACCCACACTTTATACATCTACGGACATTTTAGTATACTTTTTTTTTTAATTTAGTTTTTCCGTTTATTTTTATGGACTTGTATGTACAGTAATTGTGTCGTTAACCGAATACAATTACAGCAGATGTCTTAAGTGTCCCGTCCTATTAGGTATATATATACACACGCACGCGCGCACACACAACACACAAAGTTATAGAATATGTGTTCTTCTTCCTAGTCTTCTTTTTTTTTCTCAGCATTTCGAGCTGTTCGGATTTACTGCTGCAGACACCATCTGGTTTCATTCATCTCCGTGATTTGCCTTAACTTTCCATGTGTTGGCGGTCCATCCTGTATATTATTTCTCCACTGTAGTATTGGTCTGTCTCTTCAACTCTTTTACCTACGCATTTGTGGTCTATCTGTTATTTATAATTTTCTCTACAAGCCTCAGCCATTGCATTAATTAATGGTGATTGAAACAGATGATGAATTGCGTTGTCCGTTGAAATGAATCTGAATACGAGGTTCACATATCTGTTTCTTGACGATACGAGGTTTGAAAATAAAATTACAGTATGGCCAATAGAAGCAGTACAAGGCTTATACGATCGCTTTTCTGCGAAATCGCTAAATAAGCAAACCAGGTCAAATATATCATTGTCTTAGAAAGTAAACAAAGATCTAACCGCCTGCCAGTGACCAAGACTGGAAATTTCACCTCAAAGACTTTAACATTTATGGTGTCGGATTTAAGTAGTCACGTTGTTGTTCTCAATGACAACCACAGCTAGCGACAACCATGTCATCATACTGCTTCAGGATAACATTCTCGTTGTCGTCAAAATAGAGAAGACTAATGGAGTATAGTTTGTTGGGCACACAGCAAGGAGTACCAACATTCTTCCCTACTCCCAAGGCGTGGACAATGCTTTGAACAGTTGCATGGTTGGTAGGCTTCTGACTCTGTCCCAATGGGAACGGGCAGTCTCCGGTGCAGTGATAAGCATTGTAACTGTTTGGGGAGATAATCCATCCTGACCAGCCGATCTCTTCAAAGTCAACGAACATTTCGTAACGAGTGCAAGATCGTCTGTTATGGCGGTATCTGTAAGTCTCAAATGTTCTTTTGCCTCGTCCGCCACTTCGTTGTTTGGCGTTACGTTTTGTTCGACTGCCTGTGGATGTTCTGTGACCTGCGCGGTCCTTTTCGTTGAGTTTGCGGACAGCGCTTCGGAAATCGCCTGTGATGCGGTGTTCTTTCTGCCACTGTCGTCGTAAAATATCTTCTCTTATCTCTGAATACTCTGCAGAAAAAAAAAATGTATGTAATATTATATTACTACGTGTGTCTTTCTGTCTGTGTATGTGTGTGTTTGTGAAGGCAGAAAGATAAGAGTCAGAGATAGAAAGAGACTATGAATATGTGCAGTTATGAATACTAATATATCAGCCAACTGCCGCGAATAAACTATTATCCTGTTTTAATATGTATGTCTACTTAGTAAATGACGAAGCATATGCCAATATCTTCTTCTGCCTTTCTAATCCCCAATGCAGGATAGGCCCTCAACCAACTCACGCCAAGGTATTCTATCCTTCGCTATCGCATGCAACTCTCCCCATGTCCTTCCCATTGTTTTTTAACTTCACTCCAGCTCCCTTCTGTGTGTGTGTGTGTGTGGTTATATTGTTCTCAGGTTTATTCAGCGTGTGTTCTATCTAACGCATGCCCCTTTTCTTCACCTCTTGGTCCACTGGAACGTGCTTAGTTCTCTTACAACGCTCTACATTAGTGATTATATATTACCATTTCATTCTCTATATTCTACGCAGTTTTCACACTCCTGCAGATCACTTTGGGGGAGGCGGGGGGGGGGGGGGGAGAGAAGTTTCCCAAGATATCCTTCTCTCTCCAATCTGCTGGTATTTATTCGGTAACCCAGACTCTACTAAATAATCTATGTAGCCATTACTTTGATATGTTTATATTGGCCTCCATAAACTCTGTTAGGATACCACCCGGACCTGCCACCTTTCCGTCCTTCAAAAGATTGATAGTTTTTTTTTTTTTTTCTGATTTCCTGGTTAGATGGTCTCTCACGGTTGATATCCTGCTCCATTTCTAAAAACTCGATATCTGGAGGAACCTCTGGGGCTTGTCTGTTTGGAAGTATTTCAAAATATCGTTCTTCATTGTTGGTGAGTACCTTTCCATGACACATTTTGATTGATCCAGTTGGCTGACTATATTTACCTACTAATTTACCTGTGTTGCTGTAAAAGACTGAGGATTCCTTTTGCTGCTGCTGTCTCCGCTTCTTGTGCTAGGTCATCTAAATTGTTCTCTTTATCTGCCCAGTATTTGCCTCAACTTTCTTACTTCTGTGTATTTTTTTTTTTTTTTTTTTTTTTTTTTGAGCTCTAGCTTTAGCAGCTCTTGTTTTGCTATTGTTTGAGTCTGTCTTTTTTACTTTTACTTTGATCACTTTAATAATTTCTGGCGTTATCCACGCTTTATAATTACATTCTTTCTTACCAAGGACTTCTACACAAGGTTTATTCCAGATTCCCTTGATATAATGCTAGTAGACTTCTAAGCTAGTTCTTACTTCTTCAGCTAAAGGCTGTAACACCTGGTACTTATTAGAGACTAAATTAAAATTGTTCCTTAACTTCTTTATCCATGAGGTAATTTACACTAAACTGGTTTCTATGATAATGTTATATTTATTTTGAGTTTAAATGTGACACCAACAGAAAATGGTCAGCAAATACATCCGCAACCCTGAAAGCCCTAACAACATATTTTTTTGTTAAACATATGTTATCAATTTGATTGGCTATCTTGTGGTTTCGTGATTTCCATGTTGCCCTGTGTATTCTTTTATGTTGCTAAAGGCTTCCACCAATAACATAATGATTTCCTGTACAAAAATTGATGACTTATTCTCCATTTTCGCTCGTACTCCGTTTTCCCACAGTCTCTTCATAACCTGTGTTATCTGGTCCTATCTTAGCTTTCAGGTCACACATCAACATTTGTTATATTGTCATTTCTTTTATACTTTATAATATTTTGAAGTTGCATGTAAATTTCTTCATTAACTGATGCATCCTTATTATTTGTTGGTACATAATACTGTATAACTGACGTTCACCTTCTGTTTCACTATTCTAAACGATGCGATTATTATTCTAGGAGTCAAAACTTCCCATTTTAATAGTGCCCTGTCTGATTTTTTTCGATAGCATAAGGGCTACTTCTTCACAGAGTGGATAATTTTCTTCTGTATGTACTAGGAATTTATTCTACAATTATACATACCGTCGTCATTTGGTGAAATGTAATTCGGATGCTTCCTTTGACCGTTGTCGGTGAAAACCACCAGAATAGGCTGTTTGCTGTTGTGATTCTCTTTGCGTTGAGCAAATCTGATGTAGCTACTGTTAACATAGACTCCTGTGGTCGTTTCTGTGGTCACCAGGAAACCTGAAATGGAATGAGCGGTTTTTTTTTTCTTTTAGAAAGTATTTCATTGTAAATGTACTGAAATTAATTTTTAATATGTCTAATAGAAAGTTCAACTCTTTGATGCGTCCATGTTATGCCTCTCTTTAATACCCCTTGGTCCTGCGATGCTAAACCCACTGGGACTTTAAGAGTTAAAAATTACTGAACATAAATAATTTCCTAGAAAAAATGACAACAGCTAAAAATATTGCGTTTAATTCTGCGACGTACTATAAACGACATGCAGCTATCAGGCTTAAGATTTGAACAACGGATCAACATCTTGGCACACGTGTAGTAACCAATAAGTGCTCCATTCTTCTTCTAACTTAGCACGGTGCACAGACTCTGTAGCACCGGCGAGGATCCTGAAATACTTTGGGTCGATTTTTAATTCCACATTTTTGCCCGGACAGCACCGTTAGGCTACTTTTTTCGATTTCCAACTGTCAAGAGATTTTTTGCGTGCGCAACAATGCACACGGGCGTCCGATCTCACTACCCAGAGACCAGGAGGAATTACTAGAAGTCCAAGTCGACGTGAAAAAATCCCAGCCTTATCGGCGATTGAACCCCAAACTCTAGCACTCGAGGAGGACACCATGACTCGTGACCACGCAACTCCCTCATGCAACTATTTAAAATAGAAAGTTCGTTTGTTCGATTTCAGTTAGCCATGTGCAACCTCTGACTAGGGAACTAGCCTCGTTTTTGTCAATATGGGTTATATTATTATTGGGCAGAAACATTTGTCGACGAGAGATTACTTCTACTGAAGATTGGTAGACTCCTGCTGTACATGCTCCGCTGTGGAGTTTCTTCTTACTTAACTTATAACTAAAGTAAATTGTGTTGCTATTTCATTGCGTAGTGTTTAGTGCTAGTATTTTATATCTTTTCCTTTTATCTTACAGGTCAGGTCGTATCTATCTCATTGTGCAGGTTTAAATCTGATTAGGTCATGTGTTCTTTATGTGGGCCATATGTTGGTAGTGATACTGTCATTGACAAGGCTGTCTTCTGGGTTGTTCGTGGTGATATTGCTGTACCAGTTCTTCGTGTAGTTTTAGTAGATGTTATCGCTGATGTTCCGCCATCAGGTCCACGGTTGCTATCACGATCTTGTCCAGGCATCGTCAAAGTTGTCCATATGGCGACTTTGTCTACATTGTCTTACGAAACTTTCCAGGCCATCATTCTGTTGCTTGCTTGTAATTTTTTTCTATTGGACCAAGTGTATTCATTAGTAGTTCCGTTGGATAATCGCTTATTAACATAATCTGTACGCCTCTAATCGTCGTTGCTCCTCATGCCATGACGCTTGACAGCCCACACCCCTCTTGTCTTGGACCTGCCCACACCTAGTACAGCTCTATGTTAATGAGATGATTTCAAATATTGGTCATTATTCCATTAGTAAATAGTCATTCTCTTGTACTTATGTGTCAAGATGTCCTGTTACGTACGTAACTCTATCATAATTCATTTAGGAATGACATATATTTAAATGTAGCCATATAGGTGGGAGATTTTTTATTGTGATATCAAATTCCATTGGTATAACTACCGCTTTGGACGCCGATGAATCCACTCCCACCTAAAGCTGGAGTGACGCTTAGATTGAGACTCATTCATTGATCCCTACTGCTTTGGATGAAAAGTGGTCTTCATCATTCACGATGGACGAACAACAGAGACGCAAATTCAACAAGAAACAAAAATTGCAGATGCCCCGTTAAACTGCTTCAAACCATTGTACCGAGGCACCTTACGGTTTTTTGGACTTCTGGTGTCAACATCCACAATGGCGGAACCTTTTTTTCTTTTCTTTTTAGGCGTAGCGCTTAAATTTGCTATTTTCGCTCACTTGCAATGTGAAATTTTATCGGAATATGATCTGAATTGTGCAGTGCAGTACATGCACTGAGTTTAGACTCCCCACCCCCCTTCCTCAGGATGTATTTGGCGACCGATGGCGACAGTTTACCCAGTCGAGACGACCCGTAGACGGACAAGAAAAACGCGAACAGGCAAGTATGCTGGAACCTGCATGAAGCGACTGAAATGTAAGAGACTCAGCTTCAAGTATGTTCGCTTTCTCTATTGGAACTTTGCTAACTGTGCTTCGTTCAATTAGCGCCGACCCTTTTTTAAATAAGCTTCTCTACAGCAATGTCATCGTTTTCCTACAAGAAACACGATTCGATGAGGAGATAGTTAGAATTGCTGGCTTCCACTGCTTCTACAATAGATGGAACCTTGGACAGGTCATTATGGTTCGTGACAACATAGCGGTATCTGAGGTGGACTTGTCCGGATGGAACATTGACGATTTAAAAGTGCACTCAATCAGAGTGCTGAGCCCGGCCCTGTTTGTGTTTTTTAATGTGTACGCCTGCAAAGGAAATGTTGACGTATGGAAGTGGCAGAGTTTGCTCCAGACAGTGGAAAAGAACGTCCTTTTTCTGTGGGGACTTTAGCGCCAGAGGCAGCCAGTAGGGCAGTGTAATCACTAATAAACAGGGAGAAGACTTGAAGGATGCTCAGGTGTCTTGCCGGTCTAGTGTGCACGAATGGCAACCCGACAAGGGGATCCTGACTGCATCATTGACCTGGCCCTGCTGTCTCCCACCATTGCATTAGAATGCAGGTGGAGCACACTAGAGTACCATGACAGCGATCACTTTCCTTCTGTCGACTTGGTGGAGAATGGCAAAAACAGAGGCCATTAAATCGATGTGCCAGCTTTTATAAATGACCGTACATAGCAAGATGCCATTAGCAAAATTAGAGTAAAACAAGAGTTGATCGCAGACGGCTACTATGGTGTGATGACCAGTCTGAACAATGAAGTCAATAAGCAGACAATGTTTTTCAAGTCATGTGCGAAGGAGGCCAAGAC